ATAGCTTGCCTCGTTTTAAACATTATTTGTACGTAGAACTTGCTCTTGCGTATTAAATCAACTGGGAGACATAAACTTTATTTGCAGGTGAAACAGAGTATTGCTAATATATATAAATATGCTAATATTTATAAAATATATAAATAAGGGGAGTTGACAAAATAAAAGAAAGTTGAATACATCACGTTTATCATAAAGTTTAGTTTTTCATAAATGTCTTTCTCGTGCAAAATATCCAGCTTACTCCTTCTAGACACCAGATCCTACCTCTTGATTTTAGAGGCGTCCGTGTTTTATGTCCTGTTCATAGATTTGCATTGTTTTTATTATTTTTTATGAGATCGTTTACTGTTCATTATCTTCACATTTTTCATTTTAGAGTTTATTATTGTAGCTTAGAAATCACTAATAATGCCAAAATATGTTGGTTGCTAAAAGTTCCAATTATACTGTATATATACAACTAATTCACTGAATGCTTTTATCATTTTATTCTAATCCTACATACAACAATTTTAAAAATATTTATAGCCACATTTCGATATCCTTGAAAACGTCATTCAAGAAGAAGATGGTTGAGGTGACCAGGAGAAGGGGCCACAAAATTCACTTTAACTTCGGTTTTCTCTTCTGCCGCAGGGTAATCTTCTAGTGGACAGGAGCGAGTTTTATTTCAGCTTTTTTTTTATATCTAAACAAACACCGAGAGGGATTTAAAAGATATTACCTTTTTTGTATTTAGATTTGGAATTTAATCAATAAAATAAATTTACATAAAAAAGCCTATCTCTCGAATGAAATATTTTACCGAAATCAACAACATCAAAACATACGACTTTTCAACACTTAATACAACCATTCCCCACGATAAATTAAAATATAGGCTACATAATATCAAAGACAGCTGCGTTTTCAAAAAGAATGGAACTTGTGAATTTACTTGCTTTGCCATTGATAATTTGCAAAATTTTTTTGAAAAAAAAATCTGATTCTACACTCAAGTACTCTGAAAATAGTATTAAAAAAAAGAGTTACTTGAGTTTCCGATTGACAATATCTATGTAGTTTTTGGAGATCAGGTCTTCCAAAAATCTGTTAAAATTCCCATGGTTTCTAATTGTCCCCTGTTATTAGCAGACTTAATTTTGTACTAATATGACGGAAAAAAATATTCAAAAACTTTTTCATGCGAAGAAAAAAAAACACAACTTGCTGTGGTCTTCAGCTCGACATTTAGATATATCGAAGACGTAAATATCAATTAACAATAGATACTTCTATTCATATGTCGACTCGATATATGCCAGTGAACTTAGAATATAAAAGATACTACAGAGTTTGACAAATGTGTTTAATATATGAAGCAATATACCCTAATCATCTGCATATGGGGTTTATGTTTCCCTGTTGATTCGATACGCAAGAGCATGCTCTACTTACGATCTATTTTTAAAACGAGGCAAGCTATTGACCAACAAGTTGATGAAACAAGGATATCAACAGTCTCATTGAAGTCATCATTTCAAAGTTTTATGGTCGATAAAATGACCTTATCAGCAAATACAATTTTATCAAATGCTGACTGACGTTTATCATACTAATTGTTAGGCCCATCATGACAAAGAGCACACGGCGGGTATGACCGGTCCTCAGGGGATGCTTACCCCTTCATGACACGTGACCCCGCCTCTGATGTTTTTGGAGGTCCATGTTTGCTCTGCTCCCGATTTGTATTTTTAAATTTTTAAATGGACTCTGGTCTTGAATACTCTTTTTGTTATCTCCATATTTCATTTTAACCACCGAACATGCATCTCTGCACATGGACAGTCTGTCCCCGAGGATACTTGTCGTATCTTGATACTTATTCATCAGACGCATCGCCCAGTATATAAAAAAATTCACTCGTTTGAATCTATAAGGGACATAGACTCCGAAAGTTCAATTGATGTCCCTCGGATAATCTTCAGGGATATTAAACATATGTCATATGATTGTGCAATCTTCAGATTCCCAGTTTTGGTATAAAACCAAAAGTTCTTACAAAAATTGAAGGAATACAAAGTTTTTATTAGAGATATATTTGAAGATTCCTTTTCCGATCTGATGTGTTCTACTTCAAAATGTTCTGGACCGTCACGATAGCTCAGTCGGTAGAGCGCTCACTCCGTGATCGGAAGGTCCTGTGTTCAAATCACGGCCGCGACTGACCTAAATCGATAAAAATAGGTAGCAACTGTTCCTTCGCCATGCGCTCGGCACTTTGAAGTGACAGTTACGGGTCCTCTTTAAAGGAGGGAGATTCAATATGTTATGGCTGTAGAATATTAAACCCCAATGTGTGATGTTTATGGACAGGGATGAAAGATCAAGCGAATGTGGTTGCAAAAGATTGATCCCCTTATTCGTTTTTAGCTCACCTGAGCCGAAGGCTCAAGTGAGCTTTTCTGATCAAAATTTGTCCGTTGTCTGTCGTCGGCGTCGTTGTTGTCGTAAACTTTTCACATTTTCATCTTCTTCTCCAGAACAACTGGGCCAATTTCAATCAAACTTGGCACAAAGTATCCTTGGGTGAAGGAGTTTCAAGTTTGTTCAAATGAAGGGCCACGTCCTCCTCCAAGGGGAGATAATTACGAAATAGCAAAAAATTAATGGCATTATTGAAAAATCTTCTTCTCAAGAACCAGTGGGCCAGGAAAGATGAAACTCATGTGGAATTATTGTCAGGTAGTGTAGATTCAAGTTTGTTCAAATCATGACCCCCGGGGATAGGGTGGGGCTACAATGGAGGATCAAAGTTTTACATAGGAATATATAGGAAAAATCTTTAAAAATCTTCTTCTCAAGAACAGCAAAGCTATGACTGGTCATATTTATATGGAAGCATCCTCAGGTGGTGTAGATTCAAGTTTGTTCAAATTATGACCCCCAGGGGTAGGGTGGGGCCAAAATTGACGATCAATGTTTAACATAGGTGTACATAGGAAAAATCTTCAAAAATCTTTTTCTCAAGAACAGCAAAGCTATGATTGGTCATATTAATTTGGAAGCATCCTCAGGTGGTGTAGATTCAAGTTTGTACAAATCATGATCCCGGGGGTAGGGTGGGGCCACAGTGGACGATCAAAGTTTTACATAGGAATATATAGGAAAAATCTTCAAAAATCTTCTTCTCAAGAACAGCAAAGCTATGATTGGTCATATTTATATGGAAGCATCCTCAGGTGGTGTAGATTCAAGTTTGTTCAAATTATGACCCCCAGGGGTAGGGTGGGGCCAAAATTGACGATCAATGTTAAACATAGGTGTACATAGGAAAAATCTTCAAAAATCTTTTTCTCAAGAACAGCAAAGCTATGATTGGTCATATTAATTTGGAAGCATCCTCAGGTGGTGTAGATTCAAGTTTGTACAAATCATGATCCCGGGGGTAGGGTGGGGCCACAGTGGACGATCAAAGTTTTACATAGGAATATATAGGAAAAATCTTCAAAAATCTTCTTCTCAAGAACAGCAAAGCTATGATTGGTCATATTTATATGGAAGCATCCTCAGGTGGTGTAGATTCAAGTTTGTTCAAATTATGACCCCCAGGGGTAGGGTGGGGCCAAAATTGACGATCAATGTTAAACATAGGTGTACATAGGAAAAATCTTCAAAAATCTTTTTCTCAAGAACAGCAAAGCTATGATTGGTCATATTAATTTGGAAGCATCCTCAGGTGGTGTAGATTCAAGTTTGTACAAATCATGATCCCCGGGGGTAGGGTGGGGCCACAGTGGACGATCAAAGTTTTACATAGGAATATATAGGAAAAATCTTCAAAAATCTTCTTCTCAAGAACAGCAAAGCTATGATTGGTCATATTTATATGGAAGCATCCTCAGGTGGTGTAGATTCAAGTTTGTTCAAATCATGACCCCCAGGGGTAGGTTGGGGCCAAAATGGATGATCAATGTTTAACATAGGTGTACATAGGAAAAATCTTCAAAAATCTTCTTCTCAAGAACAGCAAAGCTATGATTGGTCATATTTATGTGGAAGCATCCTCAGGTGGTGTAGATTCAAGTTTGTTCAAATTATGATCCCCGGGGGTAGGGTGGGGCCACAATGGACGATCAAAGTTTAACATAGGTGTACATAGGAAAAATCTTCAAAAATCTTCTTCTCAAGAACAGCAAAGCTATGATTGGTCATATTTATGTGGAAGCATCCTCGGGTGGTGTAGATTCAAGTTTGTTCAAATCATGACCCCCTGGGGTAGGGTGGGGCCACAATGAACGATCAAAGTTTTACATAGGAATATATAGGAAAAATCTTTAAAAATCTCAAGAACAGCAAAGCCACGGTTTGTCATATTTATACGGAAGCATCCTCAGATAGTGTAGATTCAAGTTTGTTCAAATCATGACCCCCCTCCCCCCCACTCCCTTTTTAGGGGTAGGTTGGGACCACTTATGCATTTAAGCTTTTCAATACTAAACTGATTATACCTTTTTTCCTAGCCACAGTGCTCAGGTGAGCGATGTGGCCCTTGGGCCTCTTGTTGTTTGTTTTTGTTTAAAAGGTGGAGTGAAGTTCAAGGAATTACGGTTGCAAAATATTGACCTTTCCTACCACGATTCACGAACACGATTGAAATTGTAGACTTAATTAATGTGAAACAATTTCTCTTCAAATTTTTCTTATTTTGATAATATAGCCATGATAGTTAATTTTTGTAGGGTTGTTAAGACAAAGAAGTGTTGCATAACTTCACTTAATTTGCCTGTAGATATTATACATTGACGACTGGCAACATTCACAAACATTCACATGTAGATTATTTGTTACCATTACATTCCATTACTCGCTTTGTACATGAGGACAAGCAATAAATAGGCCTTTTTAAAGATAAAAAAATCTTGCACTAAACATAAATAAATCGTATCTTTTTTATGGACATACACGCGCCAGAGCTGAAATTGTCAAATACCTCACCTTTGCTGGAGAGATAAAACATGGCGGTTAATGTTCTGGGTTTGGTAGTGCTTCTAGTATTTTACCTTATCATTATTATTGTGGGGATTCTGGCCGGCAAACTGAAAAAGAAACCAAATGGGGTGTCCAGAATGGAAGAGGCAGTAGTGGCGGGGAGGGACATAAATGTTTTTGTCGGAATATTCACTATGACAGGTAACTCTGTTTGCACAACATGGCATTGCCATTTTGTTTTAGACAAAGATACGTAAATAGCAAATTCTAAACGTATTTTTATTATTTTAACTCTAGAGAATAGTTGACAGTTTAAATAAACAAGTAACTAAGTAAATAACTTCAGATATACAGACCTATGGTATTACACTATGGCATTACACTTCCTCTGGATTTAGGGAAAAATCGAATATGATCACAGGTAGTGAGGTAGAGGTATACATGCCTATTTAAACAAGACTTAAGTACATGTATTTGTTCGTCGAGACAAATCGAGGGTGCCAGTAAAAATATACACATGAAATATTTGGCATTACTACTGCACCGGGAAGGAAGAGTCATCAAGAGTGTTAGAGAAAGGACAGGGGTCTGGCTGGGGGTAGATGACAGGCACGTTACAACGGGGGGAGCAGGGGGCCTGTCCCCATCCCTATTTTTTACAAACATAACTTTTTACTATTGTTCATTGAAAGGACGGTTGCCCCCCTCCCCCACTTTTTGTTGAAGTATAGGCTATAGCCAAATAATGGTAATGTATAGTAGTGTATGAATAAAATTCGACCCCCCCCCCTTTTTTTTTGATTGTCAATTTTTTTTAAGGTAAGTTGATTTTTTTTTCTCTAGCTGCCCCCCCCCCCCCCACCGGCTTTCAAAAACGATGCTACGTCCCTGGACCTCCCGATCACGAAGCGAACGCCCTACCACTAGGCTACCGTGACCGGTCCCTTTGTACGTGTGTGTTTCATTTCTAAGTATTACGATGAGAATTACTAATTACTAATTTTACACTTTGTATTCTTAGCAACAATAGTGGGCGGAGGATTCATAAATGGAACAGCCGAATCTATTGCATCCTCTGGCATGGTGTGGACACTAGCTCCATTTGGAATTTTTATTGGATTAATCACTGGTAATAAAAATAAATTTTTTTTTACTTCCTGTTGTTTATTCATTTGACTCTATATACATAGAAATGTAGTAATGGGTTAATTGAGATATTTTAAACTGTAAATAATAAATCATAAAATAATTTAATAAATAAACACATTGCCTTAAATAATTAAACTTAAAGTCAGTTTGGCAATTACAGTTACTAACCTCACTGCATGGTAGTACTTATTTTAGATTTAGAGTTATTTTTTCATAGTTAGAACTCTTTAGTGTATTCATAAGGTTGAGAACCAGTTTAGAGGTCAGTTATAGTCGATTGGCTATTCCTGATATACATAGATTTTATTGGTAGGTCTCTGAAGTCAAATTCCTTAGTGAGGATATCCTTTGTCTTTTAAATTCACTTTGAATCTAGCCATAAGTCAGAGAGCTAGGATTATTTCCATCTTGGTTTGATACATATATTATATTTGACTGGATTTTGACCTGATCACAGTAAGTTCTTTATTTTCTTTTACTAACACTTTATATATCATTTGCTTGGTTCAATGAATGAGTATGAATGAAATAGTATTTGATGAGTAAATGGAAAATGTGTAAATAATATAGTAAATGATTTAAATGAATATAAGCATATAAGAGACCTGTTTTAAAGTTACACTGATATATGAAATATCTTTTATGATGAGGTCTGACCTGAAAGCCATGCACTTTCACTGTGTTTGCCACAAGGTAGAATATATGGCGCTTGTCTGTTGTTCTCTTTGTCCCTTTCGTTCTTGCCTACTTTTCCATTATTGTTCTCAAATAAAGTATTGCTCTCATCATCTGAATTGATGCACGTATCAGACAAAACAATGATTCAAATGATTTGCGGACAATTCAATTAGTGCTCCCATTATTAATTATATTGCGCCCATCAATTCAAATTAAGAATTTAAATTAATTGATATCTTCAAATAATTAATGATACATGTATCTTCAATTACTTGAGTTTAATAGGTTAATGAGGTTCTTGGATCCAAAGCCATATGTGTATTGTCATAACCTAGAGATAAATGTGAATATTTTTCTGTAAGTGGATTTGACCTCATCAAAATTAAAACACACACCGGTGTCAAAAGTAAAATTAACATAAGTATGGGTTGTTTGCCAGTAGCTGGAATATACGAGGGTTGATCCAAAAGTTCATGGAATTTCTCTCTAAAATTTGATCGTGATGTGATTAAAGCAAACAATATAGACATGTTTATAAAATAGAGCCATCATGCAACAATACTGGAAAAATTCACCACGTTCCTATTACCATGATTACCATTAATAAGGTCACACGAGCTTTCTTAACATATGGACAGTTCTAAAATCCGGGAGAGACTTCGACGTAACGTCAAGTCAGGTATGTCAATTCACTTTCGAGAAGCATTTCGCCCTCAAGTTCAAATCGACTTAGAAATTCTACAAAACGCTGCATTCTTTTCTCCATTGCTGTTCTCGAGAAAAGCCTGGGTACCCACTTTTCTTCATATTACGATCATACGCTCCGTTATTTGACTCGTTCCATATGATGTTCCGATTTCATTAGCAATGTCAAGCATACGTCGGCGGTCCGTCCATTAAGGCTCTCGTCTGCGAAGAAAAAAAACGACCTACCAATAGGAGGACACCTTTCATCCTCCTCCTCTGAAGCTCTGTTTTCCTTAAATTTCTCACACCACTTGAAAACCATGCAGTTGCTTACTGCACTTTTGTCATGCCTGTGTCAGTAGTATATGCGTTTTATAAAGTCGAGTGCTTCCGACATTTTCACAAAACTTACCTGACCGAATTTCGATGTTGTATAACGATGTCATGATGAATAACAGATAATCATTCACTAGAAAATCTAAATATCCAGTAAAAACAATAAAAACTCTCAGACAAAGGTTTATGAGAAGCGAAGCCATCGTAATAATGACATCATTTTCGTTTCATATACCATTTAGTGCGGTTTTCCCCTCACAGTGAGTATTAAAAAATTGAAATGATAATGAACTAATAAATATCTCCCGTTTCTATGGCAACTGCGGAAGTGTTATAGTCATGAATATCTCAATTATTTTTAAATTAAGAAATTCAAAACACATGTATATTTTCATCTGTTTCTTTCAGTCACTTCCACTAATAAATAAAAAAAATATTAAATTCCAGCAACTTTTGGGACTTCTTTGTTGTTCTCTTTGTCCTGTTGTCCACTTTTCAATCATTGTTCTCAAGAACTGAGTTGTTGTGCATTCAAAACAATTATTGCTCTCGTCCATTGAATTGGTCAAATATGGAGATAACGAACAGTAATCAAGCTCAAAAGTCCATTCAAAGAATATAAATCGGGAACAGAGCAAACATGGACCTTTAAAAACATCATAGACCTGGGATCTGGTGCCATGGAGGAGTAAGTATCCCCTGCCTACCGGTCTCCCCAGCCGTGTGTTCCTTGTCATGAACGGGCAAATGGAAAAAATCCAAAGTCAATTCAGTGTGAAAATAATGGCCTAACAATTAGTATGAAAAACGTCAGTCAGCATTTGACTTGATAACATACCTATTTGCTGACAAGTGATGACTTCAGACGAGACTGTTGGTATTCTTGTTTCATCAACTTGTTTGTCAATAGCTGGCCTGATTTTAGAAATTGTTCGTTGTCTAGCATGTTTTTGCGAATCGAATCAACTTAGAGGCATAAACCTCATTTGCAGGTGATATTGGTATATTGCTACAAAAGTAAAGGGAAGTTGACGATAGAAAAGTTGAAGTAGTCACGTTTATCATAAAGTTTTCTTGAAAGGTTACCATTAACGTCTTTTTCTAGTAAAATATCCAAATATGAAACAAATGTGTCAGACTCTGTGATAATTTATTTTAAGTTCACTGGGATATAATGATTCGACATACGAATGGATGTAACTATTGTTAATTGATAAAACGTCGTCGATAAACGTATCTAAAAGTCGAGTTGAAGGCCACAGCAAGTGTTTTCTTCTTCTCTTGTTCAAGTTTTTGGAAAAATTAGGCTTCATATCAATAAAAAATATAGGTCGGCTAATACGGGGCATAATTGGTACCCATGGGAATTCCGACAGATTGTTGGAAGACCTGATCTCCTAAAACTACATAGGTATTGTCAATCAGAAACTCAAACATCTTTTTAATATCAAATTCAGAGTACTCGTGTGTACAATGCACGCTGGATATATACGAATTAATGTTCGTGGCATTTCAGTTGAGGAGGGCAATACTTGAGTCAAATGATGTGCAAACAATTCAATTACATGTTTTGCTATATATGATATCATTAAGTAATTGAAGATATATTCAATTACTTGAGTTTATATTAATGAGGTCTCCAAAGACCACAACCCGGAGAAAAATATTAATATTTTTCTGCAAGTGGACTTGACTTTATAGAACCGCACACTGGTGTCAAAAGTAACAATTTCTTATGTATGATCAGGTAATGTCTCATGGCAATCGCATCTGTTCGGGCCTTTCTTGCAAACTCGGAAAAACAACACCAATGTATTAACATCACAAGATGCTAAAAATTTATACATGGGGTCGCATCCTATTTAATAAAATATTGGATAGACGGAGTTGAAAGTCCCTTCTGTAGTATATATTAGGTAATATCTTTACATTCAATGAAGTTAAAACTCCATACTCTACACATAAGAGGTCTCCTCAGATTTATTTTGAAGACAATTTATGAAAGGGGGGGGGGTTATGGACGCCTACGTAACACGTTCGAGGTTGTTTTTCCGCTTGTTGGAAAGACCCATGAAGTTACGGTTAGGCTTTACTGGGTTCGACGGCAATATGCGTTTTGTGGGACCCAAGAACCAAACTGTTTGCCTGAGGCCTTTAGACAAAACGCATTTTGCCGAGAACACAGTCAATAAATGTTTTGTTATACCTTTTTTACATACATGTATCTTATGCTGGCTTCCATGATGTAAATTTCCTTTACCCGCACTGCAGTAAAACTCGGTCAATTCCGTCACTGTCGGACACCGATAATATCTCATCGACAGGTTCAATATATTACTCTGCGATCAAACATCGATTTTGTATTTATTATCAGTAAAACATTGGAAATGTTAGACTTTTAAAGTATAGATTTGTATAGGAATGAATTTTTAAGGGTAAAACAATGTTTCTTAATTAGAAGGGTGTATAGAAATGAAATCGTTGAATACATGCATGTATTTATTTATTATAATGGTGTTCGGGATGGGGGGGGGGGGGTATCAATTTCGAAAGAGCAATTTTGTTATGATAACCTTTTGTTTACAGGGGGTGTTGTATTTGCTCGTCCAATGCGAGAACGGAAATTCTTGACCATGTTGGACCCAATCCAGGAGAAATCTGGAGATGTTATTGTGGTTCTGGTTTATATAGCCACCCTCTGTGGGGACGTTTTCTGGACAGCCTCTATTCTTGTAGCGTTGGGTGAGGTGTATTTATTCAGAAATGGTATATGTGAGTCATTGAGACGTTTCAATGCATAATTTATTCAAAAACTTGTACATGATAAGAAATTCTTGTTGAGGCCTTCAACTCGACATTTAGGTATATCGACGACGTTTTATTAATTTTAACAATAGTTACGTCCATTCATATGTCGACTCGATATATCCCAGTGAACTTGAAATAAAAGCTACCACAGTCTGACACATCTGTTTCATACTTAGATATTTTACTTGAAAACGACGTTAATGGTAACCTAACAACAAAATTTTATGACAAACATGATGACTTCAGCTCTTCTATTGTAAACTTCCCTTATTTATGTTTATACCCTCATTACCGTCATATGGAGTTTATGTCTCCCAGTTGATTCGATACGCAAGATCATGCTCTACGTACGAACAATTTCTAAAATAAGGCAAGCTATCGACAAACAAGTATATCAAAAGTGTCGTTTGAAGTCAACATTTCGCAAGTTCTAAGGTCCATACAATGACCTTGTCAGCAAATACAGTCTATATTAAGTCGAATGATGACTGAGTTTTTCATACGAATTGTTTATTTGATTTCGGATTTTTTTTCATTTGCCCGATCATGACAATGAGCACACGGCGGGTGTGACCGGTCGACAGGGGATGCTTACTCCTCCATGGCACCTGATTCCACCTCTGATGTGTTTAGAGGTCTGTGTTTGCTCTTTTCCCGATTTATATTATTTCAATGGACTTTTGAGCTTGATTATTGTTCGTTATCGCCATATTTCGTTTGTAAGAGAGAGAGAGAGAGAGAGAGAGAGAGATTTAAATATTAAAAGGAGACGTTCTTTTTGTTGACAGGTACAAGTCTCAGTGTGATTGTGGACCTTCCGTTAAGCATCGCCATAGTGAGCTCCTCGGCAGCTACCGTCTGTTACACCATGTTTGGTCAGATGATCTCTGTTGCGTACACGGACATAGTTCAACTCATCTTCATTATAACTGGTTTGGTATATGTATTTATTTGGATATTTCACAAATTTTTCGGACTATCGGATGTGACAAAGAGATGATGCAAACCCAATTCTCCGTTTATCAGCTTTTCCGATAAAGCAAGTAGTTTGAAGTATTTATTCTGTGAAATCTAATTTGTTTTTGCAGATTTTAAGTTTACCTTTTATACTAACTAACGACAAAGTAGGGAACATTTCTGATACTACAGAGTTGTGGATTGGACAGTTTGATGTCGGCATGACCAGTCCTTGGATTGACCTTTTCACTGCCATGGTAAAGGTTTCAATTTTCCTAAATAGACTCTTTCATTTTCCCTTTTTTAAGATAAAATAAAAGATACTTTGTAGTACTAGGGTAAAACATTACCCGTTATTCACGAAAGAAAACGTATATTGTAGATTTTTGGGACGATTCCTTGGCAGTCCTATTTTCAGAGAGTACTGTCAGTCAGAAGTGGTAGACACGCCCAGATTCTCTCTATAGCCGGGGCTTTTAGTGCCGTTATCTTAGCCATTCCCTCTGTTCTTATAGGGGCAGTGGCAACCAGTGCAGGTAAAATCTTATTTCACTGACCCTGTCAATATAAAGATTTATGGGGGAAAACTTTAATTTCTGGTATTCTTATGTTTTAAATTGGTGTGCTACATAATTTTTTTTCTTAAATGGATATATCACATTGACTCATTGTCATGTTGTTAAATATTTAAATATTATGGATGAAAGAAAATACAAAATTTTCAATTTAATAACTTGTTCTTATGCTGTAAATTTTGTACTAATCTTATAATCAGCCAGTAAATTCAAATTTTACATGATTTTGGAATGCACAGGGAAGTTGGACGAGGTTATAATGAAACTAGGTCTGGTCACTGCAGTGCCTGTTGATTTATTTATTTTTTTTAATTTATTTTTTTTAAAATAGTATTTTTGTTGTTTGCAGACTGGACCAATACGACTTTAAGATTTTCTCCAATGGCCCTCAATCAGTCAAGCATGACTCTACCGTATGTTCTACATGAGTTCACTCCTAGCTGGGTGGCTGTCTTGGGTATGTACTAGTATTTACTCATGGAAAGCGACCCTACACTGAGTAGAATAGAATTTTCCTGTAATCATGATAAATTCCATGCAATTTAGATAAAAACAAAATAAAGTAAATTTAGTTTACCGTAGGGTGCAATTTTGAGAAAGATTAAAAACTGAAAACCTTATGAAAAAAAAAACAATTTTGTAACAGTTATAGAGTTACTAGTATCTTTCTTAAGTGGTGGGTCATTATGCCTTAAAACAGAAATATCTTGGTGTCACAATACCTGTTTTTATTTTTATAAATATCTGCTTTAACGACAGTGATTTTCCATAAGAAGTTTAAATTATAATAGAATGCAAACAATTTAGCATGTATTGCAGGGCAAAAGTAGATAAAAATCGTATTCTGACTTGATACAATTTTATTAACTAAAGGAATAATAGACATTTATCCCAGTGAGGGTCGATAAACCTCCTATATTCATGGGCACCATATTCATGATATTTGTATTTTAATTTTACATGTTCTTTTCTTTCAATTTTTTTCAGCTTTAGGTGCTGTCTCTGCAGCAGTGATGTCGTCCATGGATAGTTCTATCCTGGGCTCTAGTTCTATGTTTACCAACAACATCTACAGGAAGATTCTAAGAAAAAAGGTCATAACACTAAAAAAATATTTTACCTATATTTATTTTGAAAAATCAGATTGCTTATACATTCAAATAAGTTTACATCACGATTTGTTTTGCAGGCTGGGGACACAGAGTCGGTATGGGTACAAACAATCTCTATATTCTGTGTGGGGGTATTGGCTACTCTCGTCTCACTTTTTGTTCCCATTGTGTACGGATTATTCGTTCTGGCAGCAGATATCGTTTTTGTGATTGTATTACCTCAGCTTTTCTGTGCTGTATTCATTAGGTGGACCAATGTCTACGGAGCAATTCCAGGATTCCTCGTAGGAACCATTCTGAGGATAGGAGCGGGGGAAGTCCTGTTAGACTGGCCTCCATTTATTGAGTATCCATTCTACAGTGTCGAATCAGGACAAATATTTCCCTTCAGAACGTTTGCAATGATTATATCAGTAATTATTATTGTAACAATTTCGTTGTTTGTAAATCTGCTTAGAAAGCACTTGTGTAAAAAGGCACATCAAGTGTACTTTCTGTCTCTTGATGCGAAAGGAAACACACAAACTGAAATCGTAGATCGTTCATCTTCCAGCGACCAGCTGGTGTCTTTCCCAAGAGCAGAAGGATTGTAATTTAGTCATCAATCAGTTGTCGTACACAAAAACGATGTTTTCTTTATAAGTTTAAATTACCAGTATCTTTTGATTTGATATCATAATACCGCCTTTACCAGTTTTCATTTGTTATTTCCCGTCATGCATCAGACTTTTAACATTTCATTTCTTTTTCAAAACAAAATGTACTGCATGGAGAAATTCTGACCAAACTTGCGATAAAGTATAATGGACAGATTCAAGTATATTAAAAAAAGTGTTATTGTTCGCTTTAATCGGAGAAAATTACAAAAAAAGTAGAGTTTGGTCATTTAAGGAAATCTTTTCAAGCAATAAAATGATTTTTTTCCATACTTGCATAACAGAAATTAATTAAGGAAAGTTACTCGTAAGAACTTGCTTCTGTTCCTTTTATAAATAATATGCAATAAAATACATTCAAACCACACACTAAACCAGAAATGATAAAATAAACATTAGTTGAGGAATTCAATTTTTTCGAAGCATGGCCATTGGGACCAGGTTTGGAACACTAAAGGTGCCCTAAGTTTTACATAAAAATATATAGTAAAAAATTAAAATCTTCCTTTCAAGAAGTAATGGACTATCATTTGTCAGACTTGCATGTAAACACTGCTTAATGTTTGTTCAATCCATTGCCTCTGAGATTTGGATGGGACCACATTGACAAAAGAGCCAAAAGTTTATCTTGGACATATAAAAAAAAAAAAAAAAATCTTAAAACAGTCTTCTTCTCAGAAGAATACTTGTTGTTAAATTTCTAAGCAAGCATCATCATAATTATTTCAAACCATGATCCCTGGGCAGGGATTGTTATTCAAGGTACCAAAGTTTTACATAGCAGTATTAAGAAAAAAAAGTCTCTTCGAATATAGGGATTGGAAATGTACAAATCGTCAAATTATTCAGGCATAATCATATATATTGCTGTTCAAACCGTTGCACTGGAACAGTGGTCAAAGAAACAGAAAGAGAAAAACACTCTCTGGACCCAGAAATGGGTAAGATTTTTACATAAGTATATATATTGCACAATAAAATTTGGGACTTGTGTTAAGATAAAAATGTGTTTGTGCAGTTGTTTGGTGTTGTGACCATTAAACATCGGAGAATCCCGTTGCAACATATTTCATTCACGTTTGCAACGTAATAATGAAAATACTGTCTTTGAACTTTTGACCTTTTTTACTGATCACTATAGCAATTTTTAATTATGTTCGCAATTGATTTTACACTTACTACAGTCTTGTATTGCACTTTTGATCCCCAAATTTGTAGACCTGTTTTCCTTGCCGTGTAGCATTTCTGTAGCAAGATTGAGACTGGAAAGTAAATAGACTATGCTACATATATCATGACAAAGGACAGTGACAAGTTCAAAGTAACTTTGAACTTCACTATTAGGCCATGGATGAGAAGAGGGTACAGATCCATTATTTTGTCCAGGGCAAAGCCCTGTAGGACCAGATGATAAATGTTCTCTTTTGTGTCCAGAAAAAAGCCCGATAGTCCCAGGCAGTCAATGTTCTTTATTGTGTCCATGACAAAGCCATGTAGAAGCAGAAGAAAATCATTTACAATGTACATTTATTCACTGAGTTCGAGGGCAACATGCGTTTTGTGGGACCCAAGAACCAAACTGTTTGCCTGAGGCCGTTAGGCAAACAGCTTGGTTTGAGAGGTCGACAAAACGCATTTTGCCCGAGAACACAGTCAATAAATGTTTTGTTATACCTTTTAATTTTTTTTTGACATACATGTATCTTGTGCTGGCTTCCATGATGTAAATTTCCTTTACACTAAAACTCGGTCAATTCTGTCACTGTCGAGCACCAACAAATGCAAAAAAGATTTAACTGATCCCGCCCACAGTGTGACGTAAGCGGTCCAATATCTCATCGACAGGTCCAATATCTCACTCTGCTGTCAAACATCGATTTTTTTTATGACCGCTCAGTAAAACATTGGAATTGTTAGACTTTTATATAGGAACCAATTTTTGAAGGTATAATAATATTGTGTCTATGATAAAGCCTTGTAGGGCGTTAAATATTCTCTTTTGTTTCCAGGACAAAGCTCTGTAGGAGAAATGAGGTAAATGTTCTCAATTGTGTCCTGGACAAAGCACTGTATATGTACTTAAAAAAGCGGGCTTTATATTTTAGCGGCTTTTGCGCAGACAACGATGCGCTAATTCATGAATACCGCAAAGAAATCATTTATAAACACAACATACGACACGGACTTGTGTAGCGCTTGTGTAGCGCTAATTCATGATTTCACCAACAACTCCATACCCAGTAACTGCGCTAAATTTCGAATACGCCAATTTATGTACACGTACATAAGTTGTGCACGTACACAAGTTCAATGTTCTCTTTTGTGTCCAGGACAAAGCACTGTAGGAGAAGTCAAATGTTCTCTACTGTGTCCAGTACAAAGCACTTTAGGAGCAGATTGTAAATGTTCTCTTTTGTGTCCAGGACAAAGCCCTGTAGGGGAAGATGGTAAATGTTAGTAATGTTTAAAATAGTAAGTGTCAAGGACTAATCCCTGTAGGAGCAGGGGGTAAACGTTCTCTATTGTGTCCAGGACAGAAGCTCGGTAGGAACAGCTAGGGGGTTAAGGTTCACTTTTCTGTCCACGACAAAACTTTTTAGGAGCATGTGTTAAATGTTCTCTTTTGTGTCCTGGACAAAGCCATGTATGAGCAGGGGGTAAATGTTCTCTTTTGTGTCCAGGACAAAGCCATGTATAAGCAGGGGGTAAATGTTCTCTTTTGTGTCCTGGACAAAGGCATGTATAAGCAGGGGGTAAATGTTCTCTTTTGTGTCCTGGACAAAGGCATGTATAAGCAGGGGGTAAATGTTCTCTTTTGTGTCCTAGACAAAGGCATGTATAAGCAGGGGGTAAATGTTCTCTTTTGTGTCCAGGACAAAGCCATGTATAAGCAGGGGGTAAATGTTCTCTTTTGTGTCCAGGACAAAACCATGTATAAGCAAGGGGTAAATGTTCTCTTTTGTGTCCAGGACAAAACCCTGAAGGAGCAGAGGGTAAATTTTCTCTGTTGTGCTCAGCACAAAGTCCTGTTGAAGCTGATGGTAAAATGTTTTTATTGTATCCAGGATAAAGCCCTGTAGGAGTAGGGGCAAATGCAGGCCCGTAGAACGCGGGAGGGGTTCCGGGGGCGCCCCCCTTCTTTGAGTATAATATTTTGTTATAGTAAATTTTCCTTTAGATGCTAGTTGCCCCCCCCCCCCCCCCACACACACTTTTGTTGCTGTAAGGTTGAGCACTGGCAACATCAAGGAATTGGACAGTTAATAAGGGTTTTTTTTTTGGCTTGGCAGATTATTTTGGGAAGCCCCCCCCCCCCCCCCCCCCACACACACACACTTTTTTGTCAATTCAGGTTTTTTTGTTGTTTTGTTTTGTTTGTTTTTTTTATGCTTGTCAAATTTCTTTGGGAAATTGCCCCCCCCCCCCCTCCCCCGACTTTTGAAACCGTTGCTACGGGTCTGAATTGTTCTCTATTGTGTTCAGGACAAAGACGTGTAAAAGCAGGGGGGAGGGTAAATTTTTCTGTTGTGTCCACGGACAAGCCTTGTAGGAGCAAAGGGAAAAGGTTCTCTATTGTGTCGAGGACAAAACCTATGAAGTACATTTCATTTCCATATGAACTTTATAATCAACCATAGCATATTATTCTTTTTTAAAACCATATTGAACATTAACTTCAACAACTCAGAGTGCAGTCTGTAGATTTTCTCTACCTGTATGATCTAGTTTGATTCCTCTCTTCTCTCTCTCTCTCTCTCTCTCTCTCTCTCTCATGTAAAGATTGGTTGCCTTGGTGTAAGATCAGGTCTATACGCCTTAAGCTGTGTCGCTTATTTCTGTTATTACGATTTCAATCAAGATACAAGTGTATGATCTTGGTGCGCATACAGACTATGTTATTGGTGCATTTGTACAGGTTTATGCATGAACTTGGCATTTCTAAACTAATTTTAGTTGATTCATCTTACTCTAATATTCTCTGGTCACCTCCTCCTGTTTGGTTTTGAGGGGGGTGGGGATTTCTTCTCTGTTTATTGTATCCACAACAGTGTTACAGACTCTGAGAACATTTGACCTTTGAAGATACTCAGTAAAAGGGCATGTTTCCCTGGTCTCTTACCACCCATGTGTAGCACGTTTAGGACTAAATGGTCAAGTGGACCTCTACATTCCGTATCCAGCGCACTGATATAATACTCCGTCTAGGGACAGCATATTGTCAACACACTGATATAATACTCGGTCTAGGGACAGTATACTGTCAACACACTGATATAACACTCTGTCTAGGGAGATTTTCGACCTTCTTTTGTTTTTACCTCTTCTGTCCTCGTCCTCTCTGGACGAACTCAAAACGGTTGTTATTATTTATATCTTAATAAAAACTGTTGTTTGGGCGAATTCAAACATGTTTTACAAATATGGGGACTGGTTGGAAATGAAGAGAAGGAATTAAGAACGATGGGCAAGAGCCGCAAGACTTTAACATAACTCGTTGTTATGAGAAACATGAAACATGAACATGTTTACGAGATCGAGTCCCCGGAAATGTTTCTTTAGTATAGCGGATACGTTGAACATGTATAGCGCTGAGAGTTCTAGGAAATGAAATCATATATGTAAGGACCCTAACAAAAAAGTACTATAGTTAACTATAGTTTACTATAATTAACTATAGTTTACTATAGTCAACTATAGTATCAAAGTTTTTTCTCTATAGTAAATTAAAGTATTTTTACCATGGATTTCAGATCGTTATATTTTTTGTTCTTTAATTCATAGCTGCACATTTTTTATATTAAATTGAAATATTATTTGTGTATTCACACACCATTTCCAAATTTTACATCACTGTTATCGAATTTTGGAGATTTTAAACTTTGAAATCTCAAAAAAAGTTCCTGAGTAAAGTTTCATAGCAATTAAATCAAAGTATCAAAGTTTTCACTATAGTTAACTATAGTAAACTATAGTAAATTTTTGTTAGGGGACATTCGATGGACTTACAAGTGTGATGTGACTGTCTATTTCGGATCTCATACATCATAATGAATGGTTTTCATATAAAATTTATAAACCCAAAGGAACAGTGCAGCTCACGCATGACTGAGGAAAAAGTACCGATCGAGCAATCGCTTATTTAAGGACCTCAAAATAAGAATTATTTTATATATATACCAGAAAGCAAACATGAATTTGAAGAAAGAATGGAGGAGCCAACATTACTGTCAAGGATACTTGTTTTCGTCGCAAACGGAATATATATAAGCAGAACATTGTCTTAATCACATTAATTACAACATATACTATAAATCAGAAACAAACATTGATTTTTAACATTGTATACTTAAATTAAAATGTATACTCAAAATCAATGCCCCCAGATTCCTAATATTTTAGCTATAATATTTTGAACCAGGGTTCCAATTAACACATAATTATATAAATTTTATAGTCTCCAGTTATTTACTTTTTGGGATAGGATGGGTTAATGATATTATACCCCCCCCCCCCTCCTTTCAGTAATCCAAAAAGGAAAGAAGTTCAAGACATTGAGTCTGTGAGATATTGAAACTTTCCTTTGTTGGACTAATATAACGTACTTAAAAAGGAGGAGGTTCAGGCTATCATGACTACGGTTTATTGAACCACCTCTCTGGTTTAATGCTCATAGGTGGAAGGGTCCAAATATAATGTCTCCCAAATATGATGCTAGGCCCCCATCCCAATCTAAAATATTGAAACCCACCTCTTATTTAATATTTAAGGGGAGGGGATTCAAGACGACATGGCTGTAAGATATAGACAACCCTCCTACATTTAATGCTCAAGAGGAGAGGTTCAAAATATGATGGCTGCAAAATATTGACACCTCTCCCCTTTTCAAAGGTATTTAAATGCCTATATGGATTGAAGATTAAGGTGGTATATATATTGTGATTGTGAAATACTGAATCTCCCTTCCCCTCTGGTCCCCCCCCCCCCCCCCCCGCGCTTTATAAGGCTTGGAGCCTAGTGTTCAAGATACGGCTGCAAAATATTGACACATGCAAACTCTTAAGATATGGTTACAAATTTGTGTAAACAGATGACTTGAGGAAATAATATGTGCTTAAACAGATAGTAGTAAATGATACATTTGTTGCATAATTTCTTATATATACATGCAAATCAGTATAAAGTCCGGTGTAGTTACACAAGTGTCAGGCTTCAGTTCCTCCTTTTTCAGAACATTTGGTATATTAATATTGTTGAATCTAACATCCTAACATATCAAAATAACTTATAAGACCAAAAAAATAATAGTCTTGTTTCCTGCTACCAGCCTGAAAAAAAATAGGGTAGGTAGGTAGGAAAATTGTTTTATTTTATTTTTTTAAATTTTTTTTCCGACGGCATTTTTTTGGATATGAACTAATACAAAATCAGATTAAACATGTCACAGGTCAATATTGTCTTTTAAAGTTAACTTTCATGTCTTTTTATGCACAACTCAAGTGGTATTTTATGAAAGTACATATTTAAAACAACTGTTACAATTTCATGAAATGCTTGTTTTGTGTTTACACGGAAACCGATTACGGTGACGGAACGTTGAAATTCTGAAAATTCTCAATTGTTTTTCTTCCAAAACAAAAAACAAAAAAAACTTTAGGGTCGGGTGCAAAAAAATAGGGTAGGTTGGGTAGCAGGAAACAAGACTATTATTTTTTTGGCCTAAAAAGAAAGACAATCTTCCATTTTTTTTTTTAACTGGTGTTCATGTCATAGATCCTCCCATTAAGTGTGCAGTACTATAGTTGTAGAATTCTGTACAACTTGAATTATTGTTTAAGTTTGATTATTTATGATAATATGTTATTATGTTCAGAGATATGTATCATAACATCCCTGTCAACTAAGGAAGAGACAGAATATTTTTATTAAAACCTTGTATTTTGTAAGTTTAGGGAGAATGATGTCATGATACCAAACATTTGCTTCATTTGAGTTCAGAAATCAAAACCTGGAGGTCATAAGTCTACTGGAGAAAGATCTTTGTTTAAAACATCACATAGTCCCATATTTTGATGCAATGTTGTATAAGGAAAATTTCTCAAATGAAATTTAACAATTTAAATTTCAGACATGAACGATACATGTCGAACTCAAATTTTATCAAGTACATGTATATAAAGTTCATCTGTATAGAATATTTTAATTTATTATGGGTAGAATGTGTCAGAGCGAGATTAATCCAGATAAATTATGACCTTTTATCACATGTATAATATACGCAAAAACAGGGGACCTTGACTTTGGTAGTGTATTGATCTAGCTATAAACTAAAGATAAAAAACGAAATTGCTTCAACACAATTTATTATTTAAAATCCAAAAGCAGTGAAAAACATAAAATGATTGTAGACGAATTGCATACAATACAGATCATATTATTACATATTTAGAATACTTAAACATCAAATCACAGAATACATTGTATAAGCTGTAAATCTTAACAACAATTTAAATTAAAAAAAAACAAAACAAAAGATTTAACACACACAGAGCTACTGTAACATGTTAACATATTGCATAAGTAATCAGCATTAAGGTTCATTGAACCTCTGAAAAGAGATATAACTCAAACTGGGATAACTGTTTTTTTTGGTTTTTTTTTTGTTTTTGGATAAAACAGTTCAATTAAAAGGTTATTTCAGTCTGTTGAATTTTGCCCTGCAAGTTATGTAGAAATTGCGTGTATCATATAATTATGATAATATCAATTAGACCTCTTTCTGAAAGACCATAAGCTTTAAAGAAAAAATTCTCTGTGTAAAGATAGGGATAATGAACCTTAATTATAGAAATTTAATTATCAATCACTCGTTAGAAAGTAAAACATAGTTTTCAATAAATAAAGAAATGTCAAGTGCATGTACAATGTCTAGACATATGACTGCAGCGTCCAATATATTGTAGAATCAGCTCCACTATGACATCACAATTGTTACAATACTAATTTACAATGTAGTTACGACATGGCACAAAAATTGCATTGAAATCAGCATATATCACAGTTAAACTTATCATATTGATAGTGAATAAATTCAAACAAAGATGAAATTGAAAAAGTTAACAAATTTATAAATAACAATCTGAATAAAAAAGGTGAATATAGTACTGTAATGTAAACAAATTCTGAGAGCACCATGGTAAAAATCATACTTGAAACACCTGTTCACATATTCTTTGTTTCAGAAGTTGACTTTTGAGTAATTTTTACCACTGAGATTGATTTATTCATTGACAGATCTTTAATACTGACTCATATTTACTATTGATATGATTGATTGATATTTACTTTAGCATGTTTAGCCTGCAAATGTTAAAAATTAACAAGCTGTTGGCTATTTGAACATGTTGAAATGATTTTATACCAGTGAATTAAACATCATGTATCAAACTATAAGGTTGTTTTTCCCTTACCATGGTGTCTCCAGATAAGCACAGTCATAACAGTAAGCAATCTTTTGTTTTACTGAATCCCGACAAAGTGAGTTATTGGAGGAGCATTGACCATCAACTCTTTGTACTTCACTGTGAAATGCCACATTCGGCTGAAATAAGTGTCCTCATTGTACGGGAGTCCATTTCTTCTCAGAAATCGAGACACGATGGGTTTGATCATCAAGCACATGTTATCTGACATATGTGGAAATAGGTGATGTTCCACATGAGCGCTGATGATGCAATGTCCAAAAGTAAAGTCCAGTACTGGATTCCGAGGAAGGTTCAATACCCCTGTAGACATCAGGTAGATTTTCTTTGGTCGGTGGTCACGCGAGTACATGGGAAGCCCTATATGTTGGAATATATTGACATGGATGTATGGTATCATCAGTAGAGATCGCGATATGAGTATACATAACAAAGCCCCGGTAAATGAAAATCCTGAAATTTTCATAAGCAGCGTGAAGTTGATGACTAATCCAGTCAGCATAAGGATGACATATCTAGCCATTTTCATCCACTGACCCCAGAGTTCTTTGACTGAGATAGGAACAGACAGTAGCGGGAGCAGGAGGGGGGCAAAGTACATGTAGAAAAGGGCAGGAAGAAAAGACACCTTCCAGCTGCTAGAGTCCCCGAGGCCGATAATGTTGGTATGTGGGTGGTGTATACGTATATGCATATCATAACCAACATCAGCGGAAAACGATCCACACAGGTCTCCGAAGAAATAAGCCCATAAGCGATTCATAAAGCGAGACTCGCACACTGCATTGTGCACACTTGCATGAGCACAGCGCACAGAAAACATTTGAAAGCAAAACCCATACATGAACACCCCGAGACAAAATGTCATCACATTTGAGGACTGCATACAGATCAGCGCCACATATACCATAATAAATCCCATTGCAGTGATGCACCAGTCCACCCCATACTTATCCCACCAACTGCACTGGTTCACAAAAGCAGTCACTTCTTTGTTCAGGTCTGAGAATTTCGGTAATTTATCAATCTCGACGCGGTCGTACACAATCTCCGTTCCATTTTCTTCTTTGGGATCTTTCTGTGAGGTCGCGAATGACATCGTGATGCGAGGTCTCTGGTAACGAAGAGAACAGTGACAGCAAATGCAGAGCCAGCCGTATCTATAATCATGTGGTGCACTTTGAACCCGAGGGAGTTATAATATTTAAGAAAAAATAATACTTTGTTTCTTTTAAAAATATTTAATACAACTAACTTGAATATTTAATTTTATTGAAATATTTGATTATTTAATTAAAATATTTTTTCTTTTTGAAATTTCTACAAAAATTGTGGATATACGCTTAAAGCTATTAAATATTAATGAATCATCCCTAACTCTCATTTTAGAGGTGAAGGACGAAAAACAAAGATGGAGTCTTGTTTAGCAGTTGAAAGAGAAGTGGAGAGAGTTTTATCAAAATTTAGTGGTCTACAGGACCATTCGAAGAAAAATTTAGAAGAATTGATTTCTTCTATACAGGGTATTCAAAAAGAACTCAATGAAGGTATGTGTTTCGTCCTTGGAAATGTAACAAGTTTTTCAGATAAAACTTCTTTGTCTGAAATGTTGATCGTTTTTGTCACTGTAAAGCATTCAAGATAAATAGGAAATAATTACACATTATAAAATATTATTTTTAGAATTAAGAGTAAGTTTTATCATTTGAGCCACTATGGATTATCAAACTTTCTAACTCGAATTTCCTCACTGTGATTGTAGCTCCTGCTGAACAAGAAATTACACCAACACAATCAATTATTTTGATGCAGACAGTTCGGAAAATAAAAGAAGCCATATCTAGAATGGGACAGGAACATAAAGACCTACACAGCACAGTGTCAAAAGTCGGCAAAGCTGTTGATAGGGTGAGATTATATGTTTCGTTTGTAACAGGAAAGGAGAAAATATACGGCTAGACTGGGAGTTGAGCCCGGGACCCCTGCATCACTAGTCAGGTGCTCTACTGACTGAGCTACCCAGGCCGATATTCATGGCCCAAATCATTACATTCCTCCCTCCTTAAATTGTCTTTGCCTTCGAAGACACAACCCAAGTTCTTATTGACCCAGCTGGCAGGACTTTCACCTGCAAGTCCAGGGGTGGTCAACAGCACCAAATTATGTTACAGGAAAGGAGAACATGTACAGCTGGACCGGGAATCGAATCCGGGACCCCTGCATCACTAGTCAGATGCTCTACCAACTAAGCTACCCAGGCTGATATCCACGGCCCAAACCATTACAGATTAATTAGGGCTGTGCAGTGCACCAAAAATTTCAGTGCATTGCGGTTCATACTGTTCAATTCGGTGCACCGATCCAGAATTCCAAATTCGGTTCGGTTCAATTCAAAATTTACATAACAAGTAAAACAAAAATGGCCGCCAATTGGAGATGGGAAGTGTTTGTTTTCATGATTTTAATACTTTTTATAATGATTGTGCCAGTTTGAAGTCAGTCAGGGATTTATCAGCCTATTTTGGGAAACGCCATTTTTGGGGAATTGGGAAAAAATTATCAGCTATTTGATGAAAATGGGAAAAATTAAAAATGTGGCTGAAATCATGTATTCAAGTGTAATTCAATTAAATTTCAGCATGAACTCTAATTTGGGCAACCATTTACCCTGTGTTTTTCCAAGAAAATTAAATATAAAAGCATTGTTCACCAATTGTGAAAAAATACTGCCAAATTGGGAAAAACTGAGCTCATTTTCAATTGGGAATGGGGCCGAATTTCGGCCCCTGAGAAGGTATTGATAAATCCCTCTCAGTGATTTAGTTTTTTTTATTCAACAAACACCTTTTACTTTTACAATAAAGGTTAGTTTAAATTGGTATGGGCTAGTAAATAGCCCGACGGGCTAGTGAAAAAGTAGCAGGTATTTTCCAAGTTTTGCTTTTAAATCCCCAACCAATGAAAAAAAAAAATTAAAGAAGTGTGGTTCTCTTCTCTTGTTCGTAAATCTCCTCTATCTAATTCTTTTAGCACTTCTACATTATTTATTTATTTCTAAAAACCATGAAAACGATCGTCTTTTTTCTACTAATCTGAATTTCCTCCATCCCGATTTTATGGAAAATACATGTAGATATCACATTTATTGATTAAATGATTTTCTAGTACTCAACTAATAAACTAAAGCGTAAGTATTTACAAGGGTTATAAAAAAAAATTTAACATTGTATCTGAAAATTTGAATTTAAAAAAAATTAATCACTAGCTTTCACTTCATTTTGGAAGAGGAAGCCCAATGATCAGAAAAAAAAGATGAATGTATACTACCATGTTATGAGGTATCTATTGCATGATTGTTCATTCTATTAAATTCAGCCTTAAATAATTTCTCTGATTATTTATTCATTATTGACTCAGTAGAAAAATACAAACAAGAAAATAAGCAGAAAAAATATGAAAAGAAGAGTGTATTTTGCATTAGACTTTAACTTGGCTTTATCCATAACCTGTCACCTTCTCTCCCCAGAATTTTGTGACAGATTTTACCTCCATATCTCAAGACTGTAATTTAGAGGACGAAAACAAGAAACTCCTGCTAAATGAAGTGATTGCAGAACATTTCATGAGACAAGGCATGTTACATATTGCAGATGCCCTCATTGAGGTAAGAGAATTATTTTGCCTCTTTCTGAATCATATTTGTTTGGAGTGTAAAAGAGATCAGAAACATTTAACTTGTGTTGTAGGATGCAAATTTAGAAATTGCTGCAGACAAGAAGGAGCCATTTTTGGAGCTTCACAGGATACTAGGTGCCCTGAAACAGAAGGATTTGAATCCAGCATTAAGGTAAACAATGATTACAGATTCATAACATTTTTATTTAATTAAAGTAAAGTGATGATTATGAATAAGCATATTTTTTAAATTTAGTATTTGTAATTATACATGATAATTGTGGATATAAAAAAAAAAAATCTGCAGAAATATTACTTAAAAAGTTTAAGTCTAGATCTTATGAAGCAGTTGTTTTTCAAGCGAAAGCCTAAGGAGATGACATCAACTGATCTTATTATGTTGAATCCTATTTTAGGTGGATAACTCTTGTGGAAGCATTTTTTCCCTACATGTTATCACTGTTAATGAGTATCTTGTAAATCCTAGATAGAACATTCTATTGTTAAAATGATATTGTCCTACAGACCCGGTTTAACAATAACTGTGGTGAGGGCTTGTCCCAAGACACAGTAAGATTATTCTAACTACGTAAACCCAAGCAAATTGATTCTCACCACCATAGCCTCAAAGTTCTTTAAAGACCATGAGAATTGCTTCCAGCAATGAGACCAACGAATTAAAGTAAAATTCTCATACACGGCATAAGACATTGTTCCTAAGCCTTATTTCTGTATGTCCTTAGAGGGACAAATATCTTCCCTGTGCATGTCTTAGGTCTTATGAAGCATGGCAAACGTTTAATAATTCTTGACATTATTTATATAGGTGGGCAGAGGAAAACAGAGAAAGGTTAAACGAGATTCGGAGTTCACTTGAGTTTAAACTCCACCGCCTCCAGTTTATTGATCTCCTCAAACAGGGTCCCTCCCACCAATGCCAGGCCCTCCAGTACTCCAGGAACTTTGCCCCATTTGCAGACAGACATGCAAGAGGTAAAGTTCTTATCCTTTGGACACACAATTTTCCTTTATACAAAATAGATGATTTTAAGTAACTATGACATTTTTGTTAAATTACTTTTTTAAAATCAATGTCTTGAGAATCTGGACCCATGATGTCTTGTTTTGTAATTTTAAGATTATTTTCTCTGTACATTTTGATTTTGATATTTTTTCCCCCAGTTTAGATTTACAGATTCTGTTAGAGAGTATGTTGTATCTGCAGCAGGGAATGGTTTTGATTTTGATGTCTTTTTCCCCCCACATTTACAGATTCTGATGTGGACTACTGTAGATTCCTTATTTTTCGCGAGTACTTATTATCGCGAAATGGCTATTTCACGTTGCGAGAACAATATTTCGCGAGTGGACGGTTGATCAAGGGATTGTACATTGATTTCAGCACCATAAAAATAAAAGCGAGAAATTTTATTTAGCGAGTGGTGCTTCTCGCGTAATTACGTGATAATTAATTCCTCGCGTATATTTAGGAATCTACAGTATGATATATCTACAGCAGGGAATGGTTTTGATTTTGATGTATGTTTTTCTACATAGATTTACAGATTCTGATGGGAAGTATGTTGTACCTACAGCAGGGTATTGAGAATTCCCCCTATTCTCACCTCCTGGCCCCGATTTACTGGGATGAGATCTGTGACGTGTTTACTAGGGATGCCTGCACACTGCTAGGAATGTCTGTTGAAAGTCCATTAAGTGTCAGGTATGCATTTGAAATACAGTAGAATTTCAGTATATCGAACACAGATATCTTGATTACCATGGATACGTCGAAGTGATTTGGAAGTCTCAACCCCTTATTCTTTAAGTATTTTACCCTGGATATCTTGAAGTTTTTTCTCAGTCCCATTGAGTTGGAGATAACGAGGTTTGATTGTATTACATTTTTATGGGTGGGTGGGGGCCTAAAATTAATTTTGCTTTTACCGATAGATAAGTGTTAAGTAATCTTGTACAGTCCTTATTGTTTGCTCCTAAGAATGCTTTCGTTTAATGAAGTATTGCATGTTTCTTTTCCTTGCATGGATATAAGTTAACGTTGCGCCTATTTTTCAGTATTCGAGCTGGCTGTCTAGCGTTGCCACCATTACTTAACATCAGACAGGTGATGCAGCAGAGACAGGTATCAGGGGTGTGGAGCAGCAAAGAGGAACTTCCGGTCAGTAATAAGTCAAAGGGTTTATTGTCATATAACCACAATTTAGAATATATCCACCAGAGGGGGAAAACAGATTTCATACACGTATAAGACCATAAATTTTAAACTTAATGTAGTCCATGTAGATGTTACCAAAAAAAAAACCAAACTCTAAATGTATTACATGTAAGATATATAGGGACTGAGTGAAAATGTTATTGAAGATGATGATGATGATGATTATACTGATGACGATGATAATTGTAGGTGGAGATTGACCTTGGTAGGGAGTACAGATACCACTCCATCTTTGCTTGCCCAATCCTTCGACAACAGAGCACAGATGTCAATCCTCCTATGCGGTTAATCTGTGGTCATGTGATCTCTCGAGATGCCCTCAACAAACTCTCCAATAACAACAAGTATGTTACTACAAAATTTTTATGTGACTTTATTTTTGCAAGACAGTAAATTGTATGTATTCTCATGAGATAACTTTTTTTGTATTCTCTCCATTCTTCTCATAAAGAGTTATGTCCTATCATCATTGAAGATGAATTCATTTTCCATTAACACCACATCAGTCTCACAGATTTTTCAAATACAGATACATTGTACTTACATAATATATGTATGTACAATGATATATATACCGGTAAATAAAATGATTCACAACAGTGAAAAAAATTGTTCTTCTATGAAGATAGATGTTGATGAAATGAATTTGACTACATGTAAATGTGTATTGCAGAGTGAAGTGCCCCTACTGCCCGGTAGAACAGCTGCCATCAGATGCTAAACAAGTCTTCTTCTGAGTGACACACAACACAGCAAACAATGGGTACATGTGTACATACACTTTAATATTTACTGATATTCAGAGCAGTTCAACAGCTGGAGGGATGAATCAGTGTGTTGGATACTGCAAAACAGCAAAAACTTGTAGATTTTCTGATTCTCAGGGTTATTCAACACCAAGAGAGATAAATCGTTTTTGGGACTCTGTAACTAATCAGGTCATGTTTATTATTCAGCCAATCATGAGTGCTGTTATTTTTTTTTCAACCAATAGACATTCTTTTGGAATATCATTCAGTCAGCTGTGCTGACACTATGTTTCAAGCCTGTTACCAAAGTAAGCATTTCTGTTTTGAAATAATGCTGTATTACATCTGTCTCTGTGAAATATGGGTGTGATTTACTTGTTTCATTCATCTGTACATGTTTCATATTCTTCAGAACCAAAACCAAAAAAAAACAAAACAAACAAATAAAAAAATCAAGAACTCATATAGTATTTCATCTAGTCCTATATTTAGATTGAAGCCACTGTAAAGGCATTGTAAATCAAAAAAAAAAATCCCTGTGAGATGAGTTTCATTGTTCATTTCTTCTTTTTTCGTACAGTTGATGTAATAATATATGAAAATGCTTTTAGTACATACAGTTCATAGGATGTAAACAGTGTACATGTACATGTAGCTACATGTGTACATGAATTAACAGAAATATTTACGAGTGTTTGCAGGGACATAACAGACAAAGTCCATTTTAATGGGGTAAAGATCGCTACTTAAAAAAAGATGTGTTACATACATGTATTCAAGTTGATTAGGGAAATTTGGAGTCAATGATGTTTTATGTAAATACTGAATTTGAAGAGCTTAAAAATTTAGGAACTGTAACTATGTAAATACACTTACATTACTCTGAAAATACATTTAAAAGTTTTAGTTATTTATCATCGCAGGGGGTCAGATACATGTTAAGCTTATGAAAATAAATACAAATATGTGCAATTTGGTATAGGGAATGAATATGTGAATTTTGTAATGTAAATATTAAAGCATTAAATTATTTAAGATATTGTTATTGCCTATTGTTATTATTTATTAATTTATTATTGTATTTTTATAAATGTGTAATATAGAAAAATATGAAAACTCAAGTGAAAATAGTACTGGACAAAACTACATGAATTTACATGTAGTACTTGGAATTTTTCTTTGGAACTATTAATTACACGCCCTCTCAAAAAAAGGAAGATAATCTTGTATCATATTGAAAACATTCTGAAAATTATTGTATATATGGAGAAATTTTTAGCCCTGTTTTATTAGGTCACCCGAGTCACTCAGGTGACCTATTGCTATCCGTTTTTGTCTGTCGGCGTGCATCGTGCGATGTGCGTTAACATTTGAACATTTTTAGCTTCTTCCCTGAAACCGCTCAACCATTTTCAAACAAATTTGGCATATAGCATCTATGGGTGAAGGGGAACAAAAATTGTGAATTTCATGGTCCCTGCCCCCCTGGGGTTGAGGGGTGGGGCTAAAACCACCAAAATTAATGCAATCTTTAAAAATCTTCCTCTTTACTCCTGGACATCAAGCAGTCAAACTGTTGGCATGATTGTAATAAGCATTGAGCCTCTACCAAAATTGTGAAATTCATGGCCCCAGGGTCAGGGGTTCTGGTGCTAGGGCGGGGCTATGTAGATCATATAGTGAAAGTGCATTATTTCTTTGAATATCTTCTTCTCTGCTCCTGGGTATTAAATAAACTAACTTAGTATATAGTTATGATGAGTAAGAGTGCCTCTTCCAAAATTATGAAATTCATGGCCCCAGAGTCAGGGGTTCTAGTGTTAGGGCGGGGCTCTATTGATTATATAGTGAAAATGCATTAATTCTTTGAAAATCTTCTTCTCTGCTCCTGGGTATTAATTACAGTAACTAAGTACATAGTTATGATGAGCAAGAGTGCCTCTTAAAAAATTATGAATTTTATGGCCCCAGGGGCAGGGGTTCTGTTGTTAGGGTGGGGCTCTATTGATTATATAGTGAAAATGCATTAATTCATTGAAAGTCTTCTTCTCTGCTGCTGGGTATTAAATAAAATAATTAAGTACATAGTTAGGATGAGCAAGAGTGCCTCTTTCAAAATTGTGAATTTCATGGCCCCAGGGGCAGGGGTTCTGTTGTTAGGGTGGGGCTCTATTGATTATATAGTGAAAATGCATGAATTCTTTGAAAATCTTCTTCTCTGCTCCTGGGTATTTAATAAAGTAACTAAGTACATAGTTATGATGAGCAAGAGTGCCTCTTTCAAAATTGTGAATTTCATGGCCCCAAGGACAGGGGTTCTGGTGTTAGGGCGGGCTCTATTGATTATATAGTGAAAATGGATTAATTCATTGAAAATCTTCTTCTCTGCTCCTGGGTACTAAATAAAGTAACTAAGTACATAGTTATGATAAGCAAGGATGCCTCTTCCAAAATCGTGAAATTCGTGGCCCCTGGATCAGGGGTTCTGGTGTTAGGGCGGGGCTCTATTGATTATAAAGTGAAAATGTTTTAATTTTTTAAAAATCTTTTTCTGTGCACCTGGGTATTATTTAAACAAACTAAGTACATTGTTATGATAAGCAATGATGCCTCTTCCAAAATTGTGAAATTCATGGCCAGGAGACAGGAGTTCTGGTGCTAGGGCGGGCTCTATTGATTATATAGTGAGAATGGATTAATTCATTGAAAATCTTCTTCTCTGCTCCTGGGTATTAAATAAAGTAACTAAGTACATAGTTATGATAAGCAAGGATGCCTCTTCCAAATTTGTGAATTTTATGACCCCTGGTTTAAGGGTTCTGGTGGTGGTGGTGGTGGTGGTGGGGGGGGGGGGGGGCTTCTTATGATTAGAAAGTGAAAAAGCAAAATTTCTTTGAAAATATTCTTTTCTGCTTCCGGTTAAAAAAGCAAAGAAGCTAAGTGTATAGTTATGATGAGCAAGAGTGCTTCTTCCAGAGTAGTGAATTTCATGACCCCTGGGTCAGATGTGCTGGTGTGAGGGTAGGGCTCTTGATAATATAGTAAAAATGCATTAATTCTATTAAATAATCCTGTTTGCTCCTTAGTGTTAAGCAGATAAACAAAGTGATTAGTTATGATGAGCAAACTTATGGTCCCAGGGTCAGAAGCTCTGGTGTTGGGGGGGGGGGGGGGCTCTATTGATAATACAGTGAATCTGTAGCAAAAATGCATTATTTCTTTAAAAATCTTCTACACACCTGGGCATATCTGAGTCAAACAGAGTAAAAGTTAGTATAAGGAAGGGAATTTTTACCAGATTTTTGAACATCTGGACCATTTGGTCAAGTGTTCTGGTCCTGGCCAGGGCTCTATTAGTTTATATTCGACTGAGAGGAGTTATTCCCCTTTGCCATTTACTTTTGATAATTTATCACTGTAAATAATGTACTTGAAAGGTAAATAGAATAAGAGAATTATGCAAAAACTTTTATTGTATAATACAAAAAGTACTTTCATAGTTTTAATGATCAGATAGATTTGTAAGTAGTAGATAAATAAAAATGAGACAAAAATAACTTGTCTTATTAAATGTTCATGAAGGACCAAGAGAGGCAATGTAAGAGATTTCAACAAGGGATTAAAACACTACAAAAGCATTGATAAATTGTTAATAATACAATATGGTGATTGTGATAAATGGGGAACAGATTTATATGAACCTAATTTATGAACTGTTAATGAATATTAAGACCAATTATTTTGTTGATCATGATCACCCTATTTTTCTTGCTTTTGGGCAACAAAGCTTCACCTTTCAGTTCATTTTATACTCTATGCATCCTTTAAATTGTTGTATCATACTCAGGTGACCATTAAGGCCCTTGGGCCTCTTGTCATTGCAACTCCCAATGGGGCGAATTTAAAATGGGACATGGCTAGGAAGACAGCATTATCTCTTTAACACAACTGTGTAGGCTTGAATGTAAAACTCAGCAAAATTGTTTTCAAATTGAACAAGCAAAACTACCATAGCATGGGGCAAAACTAACCCTGTATACAGTACAATAAAAACATTTTGGGTGTTGATTGTTGTATGTCAAGCCGACATTTAAAATTATAAAGCAATAACATCCAGTGCATGTAATCTCATGCCTCCTTATCTGGGGATGTAAAGCAAATAAACATAACTGTTGTGTAGAATATCTAGAGCAAAATGCTGATAATTAAATGAATTTTACAAACAAGTACATTTATTTTGTCACTTAAGAAATAACTAACAATTCAGATATGTAAATCAGAAGTTTTAATGGACGGAGAATGCACACAATGCATAAATTTACAAATACCAAATAGTTCCAATAATACCAAATTGTATTATGCAACTTAAAAACTTGACTAAGGGTTTTTAATTAAATAAGAATACGGCTTGATAAGTTCTCGGAGATAAATTATTGAGAGCCATTTCTAACTGTACAGCCAATGCCCATCTTTGTCATCATACAGCACTGTATCCTTGATAATTTGAAAATAACATCTAAGTTCCTAGTTCACCAGGACATAAGTTTTGTTGCACAACAATATGTTTCACTAGTTTTGAACACATTTAAAATATAGAACAAGAAATAACAAAAGAAGACAACCTGTTACAATGACACAATCACAAATTGGGCATCAAAATAGATATACACTATAAAAGCTATCTAAAAATAACAAGTTTTATTTGTAGTTCACTCTATATTTAGATATTGCCTGTCTATCTGATATCTCAGACTAGGATTTTTACATGACCCAGACTTTGTGGAAGATGAATGTTCATTTAAGTTTCCCAAGCAGATGATATGCTCTCTATAAGTTGGGGTTAAAAATAAACTCACAGCTGTTCTCATGGTGAAATATCAGATCTTACACTGAAATAAGTGCATTGCACTCAAATTTTAACATAAACTTTCTCTTTATGCACAATTATCCAACTTGCATACAATTTTTGAATGTCAGATCATTTAAAGTGCTTTGCACTTAATGTTCACTTACATATATAATCTTCAGGAAAATTTAGGCACCTTAACAACAACAACAACAAAAATATATATATATATCCCAAAGCAAAGCAAACATGTTTATACCTAACAGGCATTAACAAATACATATATATTCTTATAATAAAGTCAAAATTTGTTGTCAAGAAATTCAAGTCTATATCAACTGAACATAAGGATAGTGGAACGTAGTCATTTTGGCTTCCACTAACAGTTAATTTGCTTTAACTTTCTTTCACTGTAACCATGATAACTATTAAAACACTGACGAAATTACAAAATCAGAAGTCATCACAAACAAACAACTTCAAAAAATCCTCAGATTATCTTTCTCGTATGAAAACAAAAAGTCCACCAGTAATAAAATAAAAATCTTGTACAACACATTCAATAAATTACAACCATGT